TCTGAGTCGCATAAATATATAAAACCTTTTAGCAGGTAGTTCTTCTTTTTTGTACAAGAACATTCATTTAGGAAATTGCACGAGACCTTTACAGAGATTTAATAAAGCTATTGATTGCATTATGCAGCATTAGGAAAGGACAAAACCATACTTAGGATTTTCATTTGTCAAGACTAAAATAAACTGGTATTAAGCCATGCTTTCTCTTAATTTGTTGAAATTGTTGTCAAAAAAGTGAAATACCTGGTAGCAAGAAATCTACACCTGAAATCTTGAAGAAGGCATCTCTGAAGAACTGAACGAAAATAATGAGAGGCATGTAGGTAAATTCAAATTATTATTATAGTGTCATTTTTTAAATAAAGATAGGGATTATAGGGGACAAACATGGAGTTCATGGAGTGAATAATTTACCTCTTGTGTGCCTCCTGGTTTTATTAAGGAAAACATATGTGTAAAGATCTTTGACAGAAAATTCTTGTTTCTCACTGTATGCTCTCATTTACAAGCTACAGTGTTTCAGGGCTCTCAGATTTATTTGGTAAACTTATCTTATATGATAACGGAAAATTTGCAGAGATTGTTCACATGTTTAGTTAGTTACTCTTTTTCTTTCCTCCCCAGTAAGTGCTTTTTATCTTCCACCTTAAGTATTAGAAATTTAATACTGTCATATGCTCTGCAGGATCTACTCCTCAGTTACGTTTCAACCAGCAGCTAAACAAAATAAAATTGCAGTACCTAATATTAGTAAATGTGTTCGTGTGTGTGAATGTCTGTCTGTCTGTGTTTATACACACACTCATATTTATATGTATAGGAAGGATGTGTATCTGTTATACCAATATCCCCATCAATCTTCAAACCAAGGTGGCGAAACAGTGGAATCACGGTGGTGGAAAAGGTGCTTTGATGTTTGTAAAAGAGTAGGGTGATAAAGGAGCAGGGAAGGAGCCCCAGATTCAGGGTACTCTGCATGAGAGACTTGGATCTTGTTTCACATTTAGTCCTATTCCGTTCTAACCCTGCTCTCATTTAAAGCAAGAGTGATGTTCCCAGTTGTGTGGTTTGGGGAATTTAATGGTTTTTAAGGGTGCCTAGAAAATACTGTAACCAAGTGGGGGAAAAGGAAGAACGGTATCGTTTCTTCACATTGCACAGATACTAAGTTCATAGATAAAGTTAAAAAAACATTGAATGTTGATTCACTTTGTGACCAACTTAGGTGTTAAATTGCTAATTTCTATTTTGCACTATGATGATATTGCTAGTAACGTCAGGCAATTATATTTTGATGTAATCTCCCATAATTATGATGCCTTAATTAAACATTTGGAAATAAAAGAAGCCACTGAGCTATGTACAGTTTTTGTAACTTGAAATGTTTTTCATGAGATTCGCACAGAAATAGATTTTAAAAACATCCAAACGCTATCCTTCTATTCTAATAACTGTACCGGTATAGTATGTTAGCGTGAAGTTCCAACACGTTTTTGTCCTGATGGCTTTTCTGGTGATTTTATTTTAGCTGTATAGCTTTTACTTCTTGGTCATGAATTTAGTCTCTGTGAAGGCCAAGAGGTGGAAACCCTCTATTATTCCAGCAGTACACAGGACTCTCTGCACTGCTGTATCAGGAAATCTCAAGTAACAGTTTTATGATGTATGAGGATATTATTCTCTGCAAGCAGTAACGCGCATTTCTATTTCCCCAGCAATATCCACATAATCAAACATTCGCAAGTGCTTTACAAAGAATTTAATTAAATAGTGTGCAGAATAACTGGATGCAGCATGCACACAAGCTGTTATATATTCAGTAGTTCACATTTTGCAGTTAGTGCAGAGCACTTTTGAGCAGTAATATGTGTGAATCATATTTCTATCAAAACGTGCATCATCACCTCTCCTTTTGTACCTTGCTCCTTAAAAATTACACTAAAACCTTAACAGATGTCACTTCCAGGAGCACAGGATACCTTCCTCAGTGCTCTAACGGTGTGATAAACAGAGGGAAATACAAATTCTCATGTTGAGACTTGAACATCAAACATTGTTCCTCTGAAATCAAACATTTATGACTCCCCAGAGAAAGATACACGTTATTGTATCTTTTAGCACAAAACTAGGCGTGTTTGGAATTTTATTTAAAGATAGTAGAAATTTGCGGTGCAATCAGGACAGTCCACTGAAAAATGTAATTTATAAATTAACACCAAGACTTGGACATTCAGAGTTTAGACATGAACAATGAGAAGCAAAAAATTTTCTCTTTTTGTGATAATGAATGTGTTCAGAGTCCATCTGTCAGTCACTGGAGATTAAGAAACTCTCTGGCATTAAAGTGCAGTGCATCAGACCCTGCACTAGGAAAAGGTAGGAGTGTGTTCACACGCTTTTTAATTCATTCAGCATTATTGGTATGCTCATGTCACCTGCAAGGATTAGCATTCTGGAAACCAACAGAGTTATCTATTACGTTTTGTTTTCCCCGTTCAGAAAAGCCCTTTAAGCATTAGCCGATGCACGAGAGGAGTTTCCAGGCTTGCAGAGCAACGGGGCTGTGTTGGATGAAAGTGATTTAGGATATCCCTGTGCGCTTGTCTACCTGCAAGGCAGTTAGCCGTCCATCAGATTGGAAGGTTTTATTGGTATGTCAGTGCTATAAAGTATCAGTCTAAACCAACAGACCAATACCGATGACACAAATAGTGAAAGACAGTCTGTAATTAGCCTGTAAACGCATTTAGTATGAGAACTCACCCTAGTTTCCCAGTTCCACAGAGTTATTCCAGTTTATTACTGGCTGACACTGACAAAATCTTGTCAGTGCGTTATGACTGGCAAGAAAGACCAAAAACTACAAATGAACCTGAAGGAGAAAAAGGAAACAAAAGGATCAGTTAAAAGTAGGGAACTGTTTTTTCTTTCATGGTATATCTATTTTGGTGTCACTTTGTAGAGCAGAATTTTGTTGCAATTTTGAGGCAGAATTGCCAAAAACTTAATTGCTGTAAATAAGAACGGATTCTCTCTGTATTCTTCTGAAGATGACTTTTGGAGGAAAGTTTAATTACTGTAGCAGGAGTTACATCTTTACAAAGTTGAGAATGGGAGAAATCTCTGTTTAACATTAATGAAGATTTGCCATTAACTTCAGTGATGTCACCCTGTAGCCTTTTTGTCCTTTTTTTTTCAGCCTTAGCCCTTCTTTGTATAGGAGATGGGAGTTTTTCATTTTGCATGTCATTTATAAAAAATTGCAGTTATTCTAAAAAATTAGTACAGTTTGAGCTTCAACTGAAGAAGAAAAGGAAAGCATGTAATTTTGAATTTACTTGCATGTCTCATTTTGAACACCATGTTTTGGATTTTTGCTTTATTTTCTTTAATTAGGCTCTTGTTCTAGTGTCTGCCTTTATATAAAATATTTATTCTTTACTATTTGTAGTATGTCTCTGTTTGCAATTTGGATATTTTCAGTTTGCTTGTATTTGGAAATAGCTGCTAGACTCTCTCTCTGCTTCCACTAGAAGGCTGGTATTTTTATGCTTCTTGCAGCAGGTGCTTTTTGGGAGTGCTGGAATATATCCAAGTTCTCTGTTCCTGATATTTCAGTGGCAACTTCCTGAAGTAGAGCTCCTGCTGTCATGTTGTTCTCCAAGCCAATTCCACCACATGTATCAGCAAGCCAAAATAGACAGACTTAGGAGATGTGTCAGTGCTGTGATACAATTTAGATTATTATTTAGAATAAGCAGGTCAGAATTTTTCTTCTTTAGGTTAGGAAGTCAACCCAGAGACCTTTCATCCCACCCAGTGGAGTACCACCTAGATATACTTGTGATAACTGTGAATGAACTAGCTTTGGAACCAGAAATAATACAGCCAAATGAGCGGAGTGTGGCAGCCAGGCTAATTAATTAGGAGCCAGACTAATTAGTTTGACTGGAGGGAGCACCATGCTGATGTGACAGTGTAGCTTCCAAAATTCTAGCTGATTTGAACACAGGTTGGGCTTCTTGTAGACATACAAGTTGTTTCTGGGTTCTTTCAGATGTTTTTGCCATGAAGCAGCATTGTGTCTTGGTTTATTCCTTATGTCAGTGTACTGTAGTTTTAGATTTATTTCCAGACTGATAGTCAATTTTAGTTCCTTCTCAATCTTCTGCAGTAAGATTTTTGTACTATATGGATAGACATTGTAATGTTGTCATGTTCAACCTCACGCCACTCAGGGAAATTGCTCACCACTTTTTTTTTACCTGGTAGAGGACCTTCCCATCTTCTTCCTAATAGTTTGTCACTTACTGAAACTAAACAAAACTAAAGTAATACTCCTGGAGTTGTGTATGGCACCCTTGTTTCAGCCTGTGGGGCTGAGAGGTGGCTGTCAGCAGTCTTGTTCTTAGAGGACGCGTGCTAGCAATAGTGCACACTGAAAGATGTCTTGTTTTGTAAGAACTGGTGATTCTGAACAGTTTGCCATCTTTCTGGCTGTTATGAAACAGTATTTCTTCAGTGCTTCCCTTAATGTCAGTTCTTACATATAGGTTGATGTGTAAGATGTTCATAAAGGAGTCACTTCAATGAAAAGGTAAAAACTACTTGTGGTAAAAACCTGTGTTACTACATTGATATGGTATAGTAAACAAGAGAAGCAGTATCAAACCCAAGAAGGGTTTGGTCAGAAACTCAGAATCAACAAGGTATTGTAAATAAGCTGGATTCCCTGTAGAAAACGTCAATTAAAAATACTAAGTGCTGTGTTACAGCAATAACATGGTAATCACGTGTGAACAGGTAGTGCCATAAGATAGAAAAATGAGTATCTTATTAATGTTTCCTAAATAACATTATTAGAGATCGGAAATTAAGTTTTGTTTTTCACATGTATGTTATTTAAAATGCTTTTAGTGATCATTTATGGCCTTACTTAAAGTAGCTCTTCAGCATAGTAGCTCCCACAAGGAGTTAACTTATATTTTTTCTATTTCTAGATCTGTTAGCTGTGCCTAAGCATCCATATGCTGCTATGGAGAACTGGGGACTGAGTGTTTTTGTGGAGCAAAGGATACTGCTAGATCCAAGCATTTCTTCTATATCATACCTACTGGATGTCACCATGGTCATTGTACATGAGCTATGTCATCAGGTATTAAAGGTGTTCAGATATTTGATATTAATGTCAGAAACCATGCATTCCCTTTCAAAACTCCTTTTTCAAATTTCAAAAATTCCTTTTCAAAATTCCCTTTTTGTTGTTCATATAGACAGTTGCAACTTGTATTGTAACTGGAGTCCAGATAATAGAGATCTGTAAAACACATCACTACCATGCAGAAACTGGAAAGACTCAAAATGGGGATAGAAAAGAAAATTAGTTGCAATGAACGACTTCTCTATCTTCTGTATAATTATATTCTATATGTTTGTGTGTGTGAGTGTGGTGGTGGTGTGTAGACTAAACACGTTGATAACTGTAGAAAATGATTTATTGCAGAACTATAGCAGATTCATGCTGAGTTTAATGTTCATGTCAAAAATGTTTTGGTGGAAATCAATTTGATACTCATATTCTTCTTCCCTGACATATAACCCTACTTCCATTTTCTTTATCTTTTAATTTTTTTTTAATTTGGTATTGACCCTCTGTTCACTAACGGTGGATAATTGAGTCTTTATGTGTACAGAAGTTTTTGCATCAATAAGAAAACTTTGCAATAAACCCGTATTACAGTTTATTTTACCTTTCTTCCATCCTTATCTCAAACTAAACACATTATGAAAATTTAGTAATACTGAGTAGAATGCAACTGTTATTGAAGAAATTTGCTACCGGGGCAGGAAACCCTTTCTTGCACTCGTAAGAGGCATAATCATAGCCTTCAGGTTAAAATGAATGAAATCCTACTGTGTAATCAGCATGGCATACATCTGTGACTTTACACAGTATTCTTTAAAAGGCAATGCAAATTCTTAACACTTTCTGCAAATAAAAAGTACCATATAAAAGGGAGCCTTTGTAATGGAGTTCTGGTAGATGAACCTGGAAATAATAATGTTTGGTTCATATTCATGTTTCACATTAAATGTGTCGATGAATATGAAGTCCTCAACTACAACATGAAATTTTTATTGAAAGTTATTGCTGGTTTGTTCTCAATACGATCATCAGATTTTGTTATATGCTCTTTATTGTGCTGTACGATAGAGTAGCACACTGTTCAGCTAGAAAAATTGCAGTGCCTTAGGAATCAGGTGTGGAAAACACATATTAGGTCATCAAATCCCAGCTCCTGTTAATATTAGATTCTTCCGTGTGGTGCGTTTTGTAGTGCTGGGCTCAGTGCTCCTGATTACAGGGTTATGCCGCTTCCCTTAAAACCTTTTGATTAAATCTGGCAGTCAGTAACTTTTTCCTAGCATTCAGTTTAAGTCTTCCTTTTTCTGAAGTCATTCCATTACATTCAGTTATTCTTTGTACTGCTTTGATAATTTCCTCTGCTTTCAAAGCAATTTATACTTCAGATGTGGGCAATTATCACTTCGGGAACTTGCCAATTTTGTTTATTTGATTCTCATTGAAACCGAAGCCTTTTACATTGTCCTGGGAATATCAGAGGATCATGAAGGGGGTGAAAACTATATCTGAATTTATTTTAGGGTAGCAATGCAGTCATAGTGTTTTTGTGACCTTAAAATTGCATAGGAGAAGGTTTACTTGGTGTCTGTGTTGATGTTCCTTCCAGTGCTGTTCGCTTAATTAAAAGTATCTTCCTCCATCCATGTTACTGCTGTTTCTGTTTTAGTACCATGCAGATCAGGTCCTTGCTCAGCTGCTTCACTGTATAACTAGACAAGATAGAAAATATTCATGTGGAAGAAACGTTATTTCTACTTTTTAGATGCAGAAGTGAATCACACAGAATATGGATTGTTCATCTGCAAATAAAGTTTAAAGGCAGAAACCTTCCAAAAATACAAGCCACAAAACACTGTCTAGCACCTCTATCACAGTATTGTCTTTATTTAGCCATTTTTTTCTGCTTTTATCTTACCATACTCAGAAGCCCCTCAAGGAAACTTCAGCTGTGGATAGCATAGAGCAGGAACTGTAAACAATACTAGCTTAGCTGAAAATGTTTTGAACTGAGACCAGGTTGGGTCTAGGATCTCTTGCCTCTGCTACTTAACTGTTAATTATTCACTGCATATTTCATTGTCTTTGGCTGTGCATCATCTTGCCTGCTAACCTGGGGTGGCACATGAATATTTCTCCCCTTCACTCATTTTTTACACATAGAATAACAGAGATTAACCAAAATCACTTCTGGCACAGCCAAAAGTAGAATCCACGTCTCCAGTTTTACTTCTTATTTGGTGATTTTTTTGAAATTTCAGGTAAGGGGAAAGGAAACTGTCCTAAAATATGTTTTCCTAAAATACATTTCTTTTTTTTAAGGATTGTATCATTGTCCTATTTTCCCTGATTTTAAACCCATGACTTTAAGACTTACGGAACATAGCTGAATGTGTAGCAAACTGACCTGTATGAGACCCTTGTTACTTAGGGTAACACAGCAATTGCTTTTGCTAATGTTGTTCCCATTATTAGAAAAATCAGGTGAATACTAAGAATTGGGGTTGTTACCTTTAGATATGACTGTTTAAAATCAGAATTCCCAAACCTGCTGGGTATTAATGCTTGAGCACAGTGTTCAGGACAGGTAGAAAATGAGAGGCAGCATTGCAGAAGGACAAAGAAATTCTGTGGTTGTCAAAATATGGGCAAAAAGCATGCAAGAAAGAATTTTACGCCTGATTTTTTCAGGTGACATTGTAATACTTAACCAGATAGTTATTTTAGGTACATGTTTTAGGAGGGACACCTTAAAGTTGCACAGGTAACTTTAGTAATTTTGTAGGTTGCTAATGCTTGGTATTTCAGCTTGAGTGTTCTTTTAGAACATTTTGTGTGTTTAATTCAAAAAATTACTAATTGGAAGAAGGAGTGTTTCGACATAAAAGCTTCTCCTCCAAGCCCCAAAACACAAATGAGGTATTGGTGAAAACACACATATTTCTAGCAACTTCAGTTGATAGCTCAAAATAATTACCATAATTTCTTAAAATAATTCTATTAAGGTAGTAATCAGTTTTATTTGCATATCACAGATCAGTCCCACCTACAGCCTTTGAAGAAAGAGTCATTTGAATTTAGGCACCATGATTTTTTCTGATCGTTTTCCCACCTGAGCACAAAACTTGGTGTGACAGATTGAGTTAGAGAGGCATGAAAGCAGAAGGAAAATTAAAAATTTCTAAATCAAATTTTTTTAATAATCTGTAAAGAAAGCATAGTAAAGAGTGTTCTTTCAAGTGTGTCTGTAAAGTAAGTTTCTTCTGCATGTCAGTCTGAACATAGTATCTGAAGGAGATGAGACTTTCATGTAATCAATACCTTTAAATTAATTTTTCTATTCCAAAGTAATGAACTTCACTCCAGGCAATTAGTGTCTGTAATCAAATACACAACTAAACAAATAAACAATTACTTAAATAAATTAAGTGCTTTACTTAATGTTTTCCTTTCAGACAAGTAACACCTAGGAAGATAATAGCACCTTTCTGCTGGAAAATTTGGCTTCATTAATTGCAGTCTCTGGGACTGCTCTGTCTCTGACACTGCTCTGTCTCTGACATTCGTAACTATCTCTGACACTATTGAAGACTAGTTAAGGAAATTCCCTACATTTTCATATTGGTATCACATGCTGTTTTAATGCCTGTAAAACACTTCTTCCTTTAGGTGGATAATTAAATGAATACTTTCAATTGTATCATTAATAAAAAACCCACAGAAAACTCACAAAGGAGTGTCAGAAATTCTCTTATGTCACATCATAAGTTAATGTTATTAATTCTTTTGAGCTACAGGAGGATGTATTATGAACTTTACAACCTTTATTTTTTTAAATCTCTCTCTCAATAGTCATAGCATACCATGACTGTTACTGATTTCATATTTGTTCAGCAGTTCTCTTGTAATTCAAGAAATAAACTCTGCGCTACTGTGTTTAGTCTGTCATTAGAAATCATTTAATCAACCTATTCTAGTATAAATATAACTTTCATACTGCTCTGGTGGTATGCTATTCTAACATTGCAAATTTTTAAAAGCGCATTATCTATATGATGCATTTCCAGTGTTTCGTTGTCTTTCCAGTTAAATGTTCGTAAGATAAGGATCTATCTCTACTGGTCCTGTAGAGAGTTAATTTATTGATAGCCTTCAACTAGATCATGATCGCTGAGTGTCCATTAAGTTTAGTTTCACTTAGTGTGTGAATACGACTTTTGTCAACCTCATATTTTCTCCCTAAATTCTTAAGTTGGTTATCAATGACATTCATTGTCATGTTTTCCTTCATTTTTTTGTTAAAATCCTACTTACTGAACATTGTGTGGCAATCTGGTAATCTCGGTTTCTGTAGTCTGTTCTTTGGAGCCCCTGTGTTCACTTCACTACAGATCCTCGTCACAGCATTGATCCTTCCTTGGCGCTATTCGCACTCCACAAAGACATGCACAGAAGCGAGACCTTTCATTCAAGTCCCAGACAAAGCCTTCAAATAAGCCAACTGTCATGAAAGCAAACTGCTTACTGGCCAACTCTGCTTTCATTCCATTCACCCCCACTCTTGTTACAATGTCAGCAGCAGGTCCTCTGCTTTGACATGAGTCTCTCCACCTGGAACACTATATTCTGTGTATTTTCAAAGCTTATGACTCTATGAAAGCTCAAAATTCTCTCTATTTATTATGAATTAATCTCGTTTCTAATCACATTAAGAAAAAAACTGGCAGAGCATTTTCCTGAAGCGAAGTTTTTGTATTTGTTTTGCAAAACAGCTGCTACAAAGAATATGAAATCTGTTCTCATAATAATGTTATGTGTTTCTGCTCTTACCACTGGTGTTATGATACCCAGGTTGCATAGGACCATTACAATCATTTAAACAGGGTCATCCGTCAGCAGAAGGATTGATGATGCCTGATTTCTTTTGAATTTTTGTCCTCATTCCTTTTCCAATGATCATCCCAGCTCTGTCTAAAGTCTCTCTGACACCCACATGTCCTGTACTGTGACAGGTTCGTGGCTGTTAACTGCTACTGAGCAGAGTATCTAATGGCTGCATTCTTGCCTTGCCCTCAGTTTAGGTCCTTGTCCTCTTTTCAGCTGCTGAAACAGCTTCATGCACTTTTGTAGGAGTTTAATTATCTTTGAGATCTTTGTCCTTCTTTCTAAATTAGATTGGAGTCAGTGGGGAAATTCAAAAACGATCTGGGGGGAATGGGAAAGGCAGTCAGCTTGGGTCGGGTTCCTTTGCCCATGCTATCTTAGGTACACTCTGCCTCTGGTTGTTGTTTGTGCAGGCTGCAGATCTGTAAGTCCTGTATGAAATTTCTTTAAGTGGCATCAAGTACCTGCTTGTAGGCATCTGAGTCCTACCCACAGAGAGATGGCATGACTGTATAAAACTGCTTTCCTTGGGAAACCAGCCAATGAATGGAGCATCAGTACATTGTAAATCTTAGTGGGCAGATATCATGGAGGAAGAAATGCTAAAATTTAGGTCTGGGGTATGGAGATTGCGTTCCCAGTTTTTCAAGATTCGCACTATATGTAGTGAAGTTTCCAGGTAATGGATCAGACTACTTGAGTTAGAAGCCTTTTTCTGTCTGTGGTGTATGTTAGTCCCTTAAACCTAGGTGAGCATCTGCTTTAGATAACTAAAGTAGACACTGTGAATACCCTCCTCAAAACTTGTTTTCCCAGCTTGCTATTTTCTAATGGTTTACTTCAGTAACTTGTGCATTCTGTAAAGGCTTAATTCATTAGTACATGAGAAAATAGTTAATGAATTTCAGTGGGTGGTATATACTACTGTTTTTATTAAAATTTGTGAAGAGTGTGTTCTGTATAAATGAAAAGTATGCAAACGGGATTTTCTAAAGGTTGTTTATTTGAACTTTCTTTGCAGTGGTTTGGTGACCTTGTGACTCCAGTTTGGTGGGAGGATGTATGGTTGAAAGAAGGTTTTGCTCACTATTTTGAATTTGTTGGGACAGACTACCTCTACCCAGGGTGGAACATGGTGAGTAAGTTTTATTTTGTTAATTTGGAGAGTCCACAGAAAAATTGCTCTGCTGTTATGCTCCTGCTTTTGTTAAAGACAGGGACTGCTGAAAAATACCAAATGATGCATGCAAGTATCGGATATCCAATGAAGCAAAATCACTAGGTGTGAAATAATTTGACAGCATTCCAAAAGTGTATTCTGCAATTTATTACAAAAGAAATAAGATCATGTCTATCATAACACAACATTAAAATAAGTATGGTCTCTCTGCTCAGAAAAGTCTTGGATTAAAGCAACTATGATTTAACATGGACAGTTTTTTAAAATATTCAGAATATTGATTTTATCCACAAACACAAGACAAATTGGAAAGAAACGATTGGCTAAAACATACTGTAAAACTGAGCATACTTTTTCTTACAGTATTCTGTTCTCCTCTCCCTGTATACTCTTTTCATCTTCCTGCTATTACTTGGCCATCTAGCAGTACATGCTAAGTTAATATGGGATAAATAAATTGAGAATCTAGGTTTCAGTATGATTTCCAGCTGTACATGGTTGGACATACTTTGTCAGCTGGCGTGGAAATACTGGAGCTCTCTGAGAGCAAACCGTGAAGGCCGTGCTGGGATGTTCTTTTGGAGACTTTCTGTTATATAATACCTAGTCAGGTTCTAACAAGAGATTCAAGACCCCAGGACAGGTAAATTGTGTATGAGACTGTGTTGAAGGTTGTTATATAGATTTTATTGTCTTTTGGAGAAATTTTTGTTTGCTATCCTTTTGTGTTTACACATATTTAATTATGTGGCAAAATATTTGTTACGAATACAGATTGACTGATGGAGTTTTGTTGTAGCTCGCATGTTTTGCTTGAAGTATTGCATACTAACTTCTGAAATGTTTTTTTCCATTTCTGGGTGATTTATTGAGTATGCTTATCCTGTTAACTTTTGTGTGCCATGAAATGAAGATGCTATAATAATGAGTGAAAGCTAATTTTTTTAAATAGTTGTATACAGGTACTCTTGCTTTAGGTGTGCTTCTTGTGAAGTTTGAATTCTTTGTAGTATTTTAATTTTTTCTGTCAGGTGTCAATTTTGGTTTAAAATTGCATTATGAAAAAGAAAATAAATCTGTCTTGCATAGGTAGGCTTGTTGGGTTTACCTGGCTTTGGCTGTATTTAAACTCATTCTCTTCATCTTTATGAAAAACACATCTTGAATTACAATGTAATGGTTCTAATTATGAATGCAATGAAATCTGGCAGCCCTTTATGATTTTAGCATAGTGAAATGTCATAGATGACAACGTTTATACACTGAATTTTATCTTCAAATCATCAGTCATTTGTTCTTCACATAATCAGTTTAACAAACCCAGAATAACTTTGCTTTAGAAGTCATTTGGAATATGGAATATTTGCTTGAGATTTCTGTGGAATGAATATAATGTTCACTGTTATGCAAATGACTTGCCCATCACGTGAAATCCTGGCATCTTAGCAGAATACAGGCAAAACGAATGGGTTGAACAAGGTGTGACAGTTAAACTGGGAAATCAGACACGTGCTGCATAAATTAGAATTAACTACAGTAATATTGCTGTGCCTGAAAAAATACTATTCTGTCAAGTTTTTCCTTAAATCAAAAAGAAGACATACATAAACTTTTCATAAGTCTTTGGGTATCATTGGACTTTGATATAAAGTCCTGACATATTTAAATAATTAGAAAATTGGTGGCAAGATGGAACACTTGATGAGTTAAACATTTAAACATGCTGCATTCTTTTGCAGACTGGAGTAGGAACCAACACTGTGGTGTTTCAGCCTTATTACAGAGACTGTGGGAAGAAGAAGCAAAAGTTACAGTTACTGGAATTTGGCTTGCTGGATATTTTTGTTATTGGTATAAAGCGCATTTGCTGTTTAGATCATACTGACATTTGTAAACTTGAAAAAATAAAAAGTGAGCATTTACAAAAAGAAAAACTGTTCTAAACAACTTATTTGTCTTCAAAAGTGAAGGATACAGTACAAGCTTCATGAATCAGTTGCAAAAACAGGAACTACAAACCTTATTTTCTGTAATGATGGTTAAACAGAGCATTATTCCAGCATTCTGGGTGGTGTTTTGTCAGCAGTAATTCATACCTGTGAAATAAAAATAAAAGATGTTATGATGTATGATACCACAGCTCTGCATCAGGAAAACAGCGTTATATGCCAAAATCCTCTTTCTTTCTAAAGAATTGGTAAAGTTAGACAAAGAGAAAACTACTTTCTCTTGTAGTTCTGAAATGTTACCCTTGAAAATTTCCTCAAGAAGCCCGTGGACTAAAATGTCAAATCCAGCTTATTTTCAGTTTATTAAAGATTTTTTTTGTCACAGTTTCTTTTGGATAAGTGTAGAATCAGAAGACTGGTTGTCAATTGCAGAAAAAGGACTTTTGTCTGGAAATGCAGCTTGGGCTACATGGATGCATCTGAATCAAATGGAACTATCCATGGCTTCCTACCTAACTTGTTGGGTGCTTATAGGCTACAGGCACATAAGCTTTCCCCATTAAAGCTCTGTAAGCACCTAAAGTTTTGCTACGACTTGTCTGAAGATGCTTTTTTAGTAAACCTGAGCATTTTTCAGTATCCATGTTATCTGGCATTCACAGACTTGGTATGGCTAAACCTGAGACTCTTGAGGAGAGCTATCCATGATGCATGTTCACACCATTATAACTTAAACCAACAGCACTGAGTTCTGCACAAAGCAGAGAGCCACGGGCTTTGTCTGAAACGTGTTTTCTGGCTTTTCCTTCTTCTCTAGGTTCTTTAGCTTGTTTAAACTTTTCTTTCTCCTCTGAGGTTCTTGATTTTATCTTTTTATCTTTTTAGTTGTCTTTTTAGGCTGCCATGGAGTTGTAACACTTTATTGAGCCTTCCAGCATTTCTTGTCTTGCCCAGAAGGCGTTTATGTACTTCATCAGGCTTGCATAAACTTAATGAGAAAGGAAATCCAGTCTTTATTAAACACTTGCCATCCTTATGTCCTGGATCCTCCTATTAAAATTTTGCGTGAAGAACAGAATGAAGAGTCATTCTGAAGGAGGCGTCCGTTATCTATTGCAGTTATAAATATAAGATACCTCATATGTCTCCTGAGGAAGTCGACAAAAAACCCCCAGCAAGGTAGCTTTCTGTGCTAAGATCTTTCATGGTTCCACCACTGGTCTTTTAACATTTAAGTTACTTCAGATCAAAGCTAGACATTATCATTTCCTTCTCTTAGCTAAAATATAAGTCCCTGCACATTACTTTTTACCTCTTAAAGGTGAAACTACCTTTGATTTTGCAGGAAGTATGTTCCTATTATACAGTCATTAGACAATTGCCATGGATGAATTCACCATTCTTCCCATTTCAGCCTCTTGCCTTACCTGTCCCACAAATTAAGAGTTTTCTGAAGTTTTTATTCTGAAATGTCTCAAATTCTTATTCTTAAATCTCATTTAGCAAGGTCTTGGAAGTTTAAACAATTGTTTGTGTTATCAGGATGGTTTTAAAATGAAAGCTGGCTCTGCAAACTCCTTTCCCCAGAGATCAGAGAACTTAGCTTGGTCATGTGTGCTCAGAGTAGTCATCTGCATGTGAATTCCCTGGCTGTTGCTATTTCATGACTTAGAAAGAGATGAGGTTTCTCTGTTAGAGGCTTACCATATAACTGGTTGTCTCTCCATGCCATCAAAAAGCGACAGCAGCTGGATGTGAGTTCTTGAGCTGTAAGTTCTTACGACTGATACGAGGTAATCTCACCTCTGTGGAAGGTGCGTCTTCTAGTTTTAGGATCAGAGAAAAGAGAAGATTACAGCAGAAGACTACGTGCTGGTAATTTCCACTTCATAGCTGTGTCTTTTCTCATCTACCCTGCTCACCTTCCTCCATTCAGAGGCCCGTTTGCAACTATATATTTCATCTTCCTGACTGCTTACTTCTCTCGTTATCCCGAAGTCCTTTCTATGCGGCTTTGTGAAGGAAGGAGTTCAATTGAGGCGTTTATTGACTCGTCTTCTGCCTCCTTATTTTCTGGTAGAAGGAACCATCATGTTTGTCCTTGAATGTCTCTGGTATTGGGGTAGATTTTAAGGA